CATCTACAATATTCACATATTGATGCAAAAAAATAAAATTTATTAATGTAGTACCCTCATTTTTTATTGGGTTCGAAAACGATAACATTTATAATAATTCTTTTGAATCTTTTTTAAGGCCGAATTCGACCGATTCGGCTGATTCCCAATCCGAAATGTTGATTTACCGATCCACATGGGTTTAAACCGCTAGTTTAAAGTCAAATGGTGAGGACAATTATATTGTTTATGAATGTAATCAAGGTTTGATACGACATACAAAACATATATACAATGAAAAATTAAAAGGACAAGGTTTCTATACAACCATCTCCCATATTGTAGAAATATGGGCTTGGCTTTTTAAATATAATTTAATCTTAATTTTTAGAGAATATATAATCTTTAATATGGAGATCATGAATATGAAAAACCAAGAAATTTTGAAAACTAGAAATAATAATTATATTAAAAATACATTTGGACTGTTAGTTGCAATTGTTTTTAGATGGACCACCTATTTGCATCCGTCTGTAAGATGGATGCTTTATACCTCTTGACCGCATAAACAAATTTCCAAATAATTTTTTTTAAATAAACCAGATGAATTTATTTATTATATATAGGAAAACGTTTGTATAGAGCTAAAGCTCTAAACAATCAAATTAGAGCGCACCTCAAAAATTTCACTAAAAGATGTTGTTTTGATGGCCAAATATCCTCAAATTGATCATCTTGACATCAAGATGCATGTTCATGAGAAAAAATGGATTTCAAGTTTTGGAAATAGTATTTTGTAAAACATTTTTGGACCGTCAATTTTCAAGATATTTAAGTTCTCATAGATCTGCTCGATCTACACTATTTTTGAAACTCTAAATTTTATAATTAAAATAAAAATATATTTTAAGGCTATCACAAAGATTTCAAGTATTGAAACCACATTTCTCAACTCTATTTGAAGGTGTGTTTTACTTTGATTGTTTAGAACCTCAGCTCTATACAAGGTGTATGATATATAATTGAATGCGGTTTGTATAGAGCCTAGGTTCTAAACAATCAAATCAAAGCCTACCTCAAAAAATTCATTAGAAAAGGTTGTTTTGAGGCTCAAATATCTTGAATTGATCATCTCAACGTCAAGATGCATGGACATGTGAAAAAAATAGATTTCAAGCTTTAGAAATTATATTTTGCAATATATTTGTAGATCGTCAATTTTCAATATTTTCAAATTTTCATATATCTTTTGAATTTCAAGTTTTGGAAATAGTATATTTTCAAGTTTTGAAAATAGTATATTTTGTAATATATTTTTAGATCGTCAACTTTCAATATTTTCTAATTTTCATATATCTATTTTCTAGTTTTCATATATCTTTTGATCGAGACTGTTTTATAAGCTTTCAATTTTACAAATAAATATAAAAATATATTTTAAGGCTATCACTTTCCAGTAGTTGAACCACATTTCTCGGCACGAGGGTAGGCTCGGATTTGATTGTTTAGAGCCTAAGCTCTATACAAATCGCACCCTTTTTATTATAACCGACTCAAGCTCTCTCTCTACATCGACTCTGAAATCAGTCTCAGATTTGCAAAGCCCAGTTATGTTATCGCCCTAAATTCGATTTATACTTGTTAATGGATTGGGGAATTCCTGCTGGTTTTTTTGGGTTCATTCTTTACATCTGGTTTCGACTTTGATTTTGGGGATTGAGTTTCCCTCATTTATTAAATGGTTTTCTGAATGCCTGCTGGTTTTCTTTGCTTCTCGGTGGAATTTATTTTGGTCTTGTGTGGTTTTGGGATTAGGTTTTCCCCATTTCGAGAATAATTTTGGGAATGCCTGGGGTATTAGCTGCTTCTCAATGGGTTTCAATTTTGGCTTCCTTAATCAAAGCATATTTGGACGAATGGTTCGGTGAATTCCAATGGTTTTTTTTTGCTAATGGATCCCCATTTTGTTTTTGTTAATTGAGTTACTTTTTTTCTTATAATAGTTGCTAATGGATTTACTATTTTCTGATGGCTTTTTGCTAGTAGATTTCAATTATGGTTTTGTATTGGATAAAGGAGCTGTTTTCTTCTTAGTCTTCTCTTTTGTTTTTTTTTTGGGTGAATGGATGGATCAGTAACAAACAAATTTTTTTTTGGTGGTATTTGAGCCTTCATTTTTGGATTTTATTTCTTTTGGTTTTATTGGCAATGTAGCATGCCATTTTTCTCTTGGATTTTGTTTGAAAATTTGTGTATCACATTTTATGTAAATAGATGGGCCCAATATGAATCAACAAGTACATGGAATGTTAAGCTTTTCTCTTCTACGCAATTAACTCGTGTTTGTTGTGCTTTTCTTTTCATTATATGGTAATCCTGTGAAATTGACGGCGCACTGTGAATTTGTTTGTTGGGTGACATGAATGTTGGTCATAAAAAGCTGAGATGTCTGCTTTGTTATTTCTTATTTCATTTTCTTGTAATACCATTGGGCACTTTCATAATTTAGCTTTTATGAGAATCCTCATCCTGTAAATACTACTATGCTACTTTAATTTGGGTTTAATTCCTCACTTGTGTTTCGAGGGATTTCCCATTATATCTTGGTTTCTAATTGTATTGGAATTGTTGTTTTTGTGATAACATTTCAGGAATTATTGTCATGGTAACATAAACAATGGTTTGACATTATACAGAATATACCAAATTCTGATATAGCAATATAAATGTGATAGAATTAATTTTAATTGTCCTCCAAATAGACCCACAAAAGTATGACTTTGTGTTACTTCTTCCTTGTCACTAGATCGCTTCCTCAAGATATAGCATCAACCTGAGCCCTATCACTTTGGTAAACCATACATTCCTCTTCATCCTTCTCCAAAACTACCTAGTTTAGGGTCACCCTCCAAAACCAGGGCTATTCCAAAAGCAAAAATGGGGTCATTGACGCTTCCTCCCTGAAAATGCCCCATCATCATCATTCTTGACATCATGAGAAACCGTAGAATTTCTTGAACCCAATTAGGGCTTCTAATCCATTCCATTCTCTTCCAATGTTGGTCTCCGTGGCCATAGAATGGCAGATCCTCTCAAATCATTATTAACAAAAGCGGGAATTATACTCGATGTGCTGGCGCAATATGGACCTCTGCCGCCACAAGCTCGCCTGCGTTCCCTTTGGTGGTCCCATCGCGGCCTTGCATAATGAGTCAAAGATCATTCAGCTCCTCTCAGAGCCTACCTGCTGAAAGCTCCAAATCTTCAATGTTGTTGGTGTCCCCTTTGCGTCTACTGTCCGGGACCGTCTTGGGGATTGCCTCATTGCCATTGCATGGATTGACCATCAAGCTCTCACTTGTCTCGTCCAGGATGACACCCTCTTCTTTTATAACATCCATGCACGCATCCTAGAACTTTCCCTCTCTATGGACAGAGAGTGCAGGGAAGCGGAATGTGGTTGTGTATTTTGGAGCAATGGGTGGTTTGCCTTACTGAGGGCTTTTTGGTCTTTTGTGTGTCAGATTTGAAGGATCTGTGGCCATGCAAGTTTGCAGACCCGGGTCTGGAACTGTCTATGGCAGTGATAGAGCCAAAACATACAATGTTAGTGAATGGGGAGGTTGTTGAGGTCAGTGTTCCAAAAAGCGGACCGCCCAGCACTTGGGCGGCTGCCTAGGCGGATCTGGGGGCCTGGGTGCATCGCTCAGGCTTAGGAGCATTGCCCAGGCCTAGGCGCCCTAAAAAAGTAGTGGTTTCTAGGCGCCTGCTTAGGCGCCCAGGAAACCTCTTAGGCGGCCTCCCAGCGCCCCGCCCAGAGGCAGAAATTGCTTTCGGTGGGAGCATATTTTGTCTAGTTTTTTGATACTAAAGGGCCTAAAACCCCGTTTTAGGTTCATTTGAAACCTAAACTTATTGGAGCCCATTTTATAGAGAGAGATCCTCCAAAAGCTACTTTTTTGGTGATTTCTTTGGGATCGAAGGGTTTCTCAAAGTTATGAGAAATTGATCAAAACATCACCCATTGATATTAGATTTAATTTTTGATGTTTTATAAATCTATTGGGGGGGATTTTGAGTCAGAAGCATCTTTGAGGTGAAAGTTTGGAGATTGAGCAATCAAACTCAAAGTAAGTGATTTTTTTTATTGCTTGTATAATTGCATTATTTTGAGATGTCTTCTTCGAGATCTAATAGGAGTGGTGATCCCGGTTGAAAATATGGCTACAACCCAGATCCTAATGATAAAAATTACATAAGATGCAATTTTTGTGAGAATGATACAAAATGGGGCATTAACCGGTTCAAGAAACATCCCCCTGGTATCAAGGGGGATGTTGCCCCATGTAAAAAGACTCTTGATGCTATTAAAGACGAAATAACCAATTTTTTGAATATGATAAAAATGAAAAAGATGGGAGATTCGCTTTCATAGTGGAGATTAGGTCTGGGGTTCGAGTCAATTATGATGATGATGAGGATGGGATTGGGGAGAGATCTCAAGAGGTAGAAGTAGAACAATCCATTATTAGGGGAAAGGGAAAGGAGTTGTAATTGCTTCTGGTTCTAGTTCTCAGAGTAAGAAACCTCGGTTTAGGGGCCCTATGGATAGTGTTTTGCCTCTGCCTGACCCTGAGGTTGCAGGAGAGAAATCAAAAAAGCAAACCACCATTGAAAATAGAATGAAGAAGGAACAGAGAGATAAAGCTGCTTATTATCTTGCTGCATGGGTTTATGAGGCGAGCATTCCTTTCAATACCGCTCGCTTAAGCAGTTTCTATGCCCATGGTAGAGGCAAATGGCAATTTGGGCTTGGGATGAAACCCCCAACCCCATATGAGCTTTCGGAGCCTCTTTTGAAAAAGGCGGTGAGTGTCACGAAGGAAGCTGTAGAAGTTAAGAAGGATGCATAGGCTCAGTATGGGGTTTCTATTATGACTGATGCTTGGAGTGATAGGAAGAGAAGAAGTCTGATGAATTTACTTGTGAATTGTCCTTTAGGGACTATTTTTTTGAGGTCTATTGATGCCTCTGATCATATCCATGATGCCCATTACATATTCCAAGTTTTAGAGAAGGGAATCAAGGAGGTTGGGGAGCATCATGTTGTACAGATTGTCACAGACAATGCTGCTCCTAATGTTGTTGCAGCTAATTTGTTGCGCATAGCTTATCCTAGAATCTTTTGGGCACCATATGTAGCACATTGTATAGACCTCATGCTTGAGGCTCTTAACGGTTTAACCGAGATATCAGGTGCAGTGAAGAAGGCAAAGTCAGTTACAAATTTCATTTATAGCCACCATCTCACCCTCAATATGATACGTGTATTTACAAAGAAGAAAGATATTATGAGGCCTGGGGTCACTAGATTTGCGACCTGTTACTTATGCCTAGATAGCATACATTTGAGGAGAGTGCAGTTGAGGCAGATGTTTACCTCGGATGGCTAGAGAGCATGCAAGTGGTCCAAGGATTAGGTTGGGAAGAAGGTAAGAGATGTTATCCTTTTGAAGGCTTTTTGGCGAGGGGTGTAGGGCGCTCTTAAGGTATTTTTGGCTCTTGTCAAAGTCCTTCGCATGGTTGATAGTGACAAGCCTTCTATGGGCTATCTATATGAGGCTATGGAGAAATGCAAAAGAGAGAGTCCAAAATTTTGATGATGATAAGAACTGTTACAAGCCTTTTTGGGAGATTATTGATGAGAAGTGGGATAGGCAGCTACATTGGCCATTGCATGCAGCTGATTATTATTTGAGCCCAACTTTTTTTTATGTTGACAAGGATATACACACAAATGACACAATTATGACTGGATTTAATAAGTGTGTAGATGTGTTAGTCCCTGATCCTGATATCCAGGATATTATATGCGCTAATGA